AAAACCACAACTCTCAAACTGGCCCAAGGACTCCAAGTTGAAGTTGAAGTCCAAGTCCAAGTCCAAGTCAACGTTGTGTGTAGGAGGTTGGCAGAGGAACAGTGCTGGACAAGTGCACATTGATGGGATCCTCACCCACCCAGCTAAGGATGGAATCCTTTTGGCAAGGCTTGGTTCATCTTTTTCCAGTCTGTCCTTCTCCCAGCCATTTGAGGAGCCACTGCCAGCCAGTCAACTTTCCAAAAACATAGTGGTTTACGTTCTTCCTGCTTAAAAATGTTCATAGCTCCTCAGTACCTACAAAATAAGCTTCAGCATGGTTCATGAGACTCCATAGTCTTGCCCCGACTATTTCTCCAGTCTCCTAGCTGCCACTGCAACCTCTTGGGAGCCATGGCTCTGTACACGCACCTTCAGGACGGCACCCAGGCTGTGCTCTCTCCTTTCTGATGTGAACTTCATGAGAACAAAGGCCCATCCACCTCTGTGTCTATGCCTACCCTCACTCAGAATGTGAAAAAATAATTCACATGGTTGCATCATTTTCTAGTTCACAAAGGCTTCCTAGACATTCAGTGAGGCAGGTATTAGCCCACTTTAGAGATGAGGCTAAGAGGGGTGGGAATCAACATTTTACTGATAATCCACAATATGCAAGTCACAGTATTAGGTGTGTGTGTTTTTTAAAAATATGTTTCCTGTTTTCAATTCTTGGAACAACGTTGAGAATTACCCCATCTTATAGTCTCAGGTCAATTAAGTGACTTCTTCAAGATTGTGCCTCTCATACATTTGAGAGTCAAAGAGTTGAGTGTTGGTTGTATCTGGCTCCTGATCCCAGGCTCTTGTCATTACAGGGCAACACTTAGCCTGGCGCTGGCATTTCCTGCTTGTTTAGTTGCTGTTGGTTGGAGAAATGTATGACTGTTTCCCAGCTGTTTCCCACCCTGAGGACAAGCACTCTGGGAAAGACACCTGCAGCCTTCACAAGTGTAGGGCCTTGGGCTGAGGGGGTCTCATGAGCCCTGCTGCTTTTAGCCAAATTAGTAGCTTTTTCTCAATGCTTGTATCTAAAGATAGGGCTAGCGGTTTCATGCCTTTTACCCACTCTTGCGGACTTTGCTAAAAAAGAACTCTTGGTGTGAAGAGATGACCCCACTCAGACCCTGGGTCTGGCCCTGGTGTGGGGCCGAGACATAGTAGGTAGCTGCCCGATAAATGTTTGTTGATAGAAGGAAATAAAGATGGAATGAATTAAGGGTTGGCAAGACTGCAGTTTCTGCTACATTTTACTAGGGAGGTGTCATTGCCGAAGGCAATGGGAACGGGAGTCTTTGTGAAGCCGGGAGCGAAGGGGTTCATAACTCTGCCGCTGTGAAATTGATTGGACCCAAGACCAGTATGAAAGTTCCTTGTCTGAAGGGAGTAATCCTTAAATCCCCCATATGGTTTAAATGTAATTTGTGTCATTGTGAAGGAGTACTGGCAATGCAGGCGAATTCATTAGGCCAAATTGGGTTCGCTAGGCTCGACAGTAACGTTTCTGAAGATGAAGTTCAACCTTTGCTGGAGAGCTGAAACAAATGAGTTTCTTAATAGCTGTCCCACTTAGTCTGAGCGTCTTAGGAAGCTTAATGTTTTTAATGTCTCCTCTTTTTTACCACACTTCACAGTCCATCTAACATTGCTGCTTCTGGTAATATTTTTATATGGGGTTGAGCTCTATAGTGTTCATAAAATTATGATTCAGGCCCATTTCTAGAAGAGAAGCTTTTCTAGGGTAAGGACTGCGTCCTTTCAGTTGAGCTTTGCGTATTGACAAACACTGTGCCTGGCATATGTCGTTGCTTAAAACGTTGCTTTCATAGTTCCAGCTTCAGAGAGAACGTCACTGAGAGAGTGGCAGACTGCCAGCAGAGAACATGCTGGAATGCGGTGTGTTGGGTGGGCAGAGGGGCTTTGGCTGGGGATGTGGGAGCACCCTTGTGCCCAAGTGCCCCTGATTCACCCTGGGATTTCAAGATCTCATTAAGAAAACTACCAATTACGTGGTTGGTTGCTCTGTTATTCCAATGAAGAGATTATTGAAATGATATTTCATAAATCTGGATCTATTATTGAATATGTCAAGACACATATGCTGGCCTAATTTACAAACCCATATTAAACTAAAGAAAACTTGGCACAGAATTTTTAAAATGTGAATTTTTAAAAATACATTTCTAGCAAGTTAAGAAACAGGGATTATGTAAGCTGTTAATAAGCAGACTTGCCTTTTCAGTTAATTTCTAAAGAGCAAATGCAACTAAAACAAAAGTAAATAAGTGGGACTTAATTGAACTAAACAGCTTCTGCACAGAGAAAGAAATAATCAACAGAGCAAATAGGCAACCTATAGAATAGGAGAAGATATTCATAGGCTATACATCTGACAAAGGACTAATATCCAGTATCTACAAAGAACTCAAACAAATCAGCAAGAAAAAGATAAATAACCCTATTAAAAATTGGGCAAACAGCTGGGCTTGGTGACTCAGCCTGTAATCCCGCGCCTTGGGAGGCTGAGGTGAGTGGATTGCCTGAGCCCGCGGGTTCGAGACCCGCCTGGGCAACTTGGCGAGACCTCATCTCTACAATAAATCAAAAAATTAGCCGGGCGTGGTAGTGCACGCCTGTAGTTCCAGCTACTTGGAAGGCTGAGGAGGAAGGATCGCTGGAGCCCAGCAGATTGAGGCTGTGGTGGCTGGGAGCTGCCACTGCACTCCAGTCAGGGAGACAGAATGAGACTCCAACTCAAAAAAAAAAAAAAAAGAGTGGGCAAACGACATGAACAGACATATCTCAAAAGAAGATATACAAATGGCCAACAAACATATGAAAAAATGCTCAACCTCACTCATCATCAGGAAAATGCAAATTCAAACCACAGCAAGATACTCCCTTACACCAGTCAGAATGGCCATTATTAAAAAATATAAAAGCAATAGATGCTGGTGCAGATGTGGAGAAGAGGGAACTCTTATACACTGTTGATGGGAGAGTAAATGACTACAACCTCTCTGGAAAGCGGTATGGAGATTACCCAAAGAACTAAAAGTAGATCTACCATTTGATCTAGCAACCCACTACTAGGTATTTACCCAAAGAAACAGAGGGCGTTATATGAAAAAGACACCTGTGTACCCACATGTTCATCGCAGCACAATTCACAATTGTAAAGATGTGGAATCAACCTAAATGCCCATCAACCCATCAGTGGATAAAGAAAATACACACACACACACACACACACACACACACAAACGTATATACATACATACATATATATACATATATACACACACACACATACATACACATATATACATACATACATATATATATATATATATATATATACACACACATACTATGGAATACTACACAGCCATAGAAAATAATGAAATCATGTCCTTTGCAACGATATGGGTGGAGCTGGAGATTATCAATCTCAGTGAACTGACTCAGAAACAGAAAACCAAACACTGCATGTTCTCACTTATATGTGGGAGCTAAATAATCACAAAGATGAAAATAATAGACACCGGAGACACCGATAAGGGGAGAGGGGGCGGGGGGCTAGGGTTCAGAGACTACCTAGGGGCACAATGTTTACTATCTGCGGAATGGGCCACCTGAGACCCAATTCCTACCACTGCACATATGTCCACGTAACAAACACGCATGTGTGACCCCCTGAATCTAAAATAAAACAAAAGTCTGAAAAAAAAATTCTAAACAATTTTGCTTTTAAAAACTACCTAAGGGGCTAAAATAAGCTATAACAGGGCATTGTCTTTGGGTGAACTGGTTTTCAACTTGATGGTTATTTCTCATGAATTGTTTTAATGTTGTGTCTCAAGGTTTTCCCTGCACGTGGGCCAGCCCTGTTTGTCTTTTGGAGAGGACTGGGCTTTCTTGCCAGTGGCCTGTGAGAAAGATTCACATTTTGCTTCCCAAGGGGTGATTCACTTTTCCCTTGAAAACTTTGACTCCTCAGTGCTTGTCAGACACCCAGACGTGGCCTGACTCGTCCTGGTTTACTTTTAAGCCTCCTTAACAAGTTCTCTAAAACCTTGGGCGTTTTCATCAGCAACTGCTGCTGAAACAGAATGAAGTATGTACGTATTTAAATAGACTATTAAGAAAATCTCAGGGATCAAATGGAATTGGATACTAAACTTATTTAGATAGAAGAATTTTAAACGTCTTAGGTTCTCCAAATGCAAGGGATTTAAACTGCTTCCCTAAAAACATTTTCTTAAAAAGTCAAGTACATTTAAAACCGAGACAATTTTTAAAATTAATCTTATGTTCAAGTTATTTTTCTAAATAATAACCTGATCTATCTCCAGGTACTCAGAGAAAAAATATATATATATACATTTTTTTCCCTTGTTCTGCTTACATTTTTGAGGACTTGGTGTCTCCTTATCCTCACATTTTAGTAAATCTGGGGACATATTTGGAAGTATCTATTCTTCTAGAACTGAATACTACTTTGTTAAATCTTTGGTGGCCAATAAATACATCTGTCTGTGAGATTTTTTTTTTTTCTTCCAACTGGGATTGCACGTGGGAAGTAAAAGAATCCTTTGGGTTTCAAAATGACAGTAATGTGAGGAAAGCAGAGGTAACTGAGATCCGTCCCTTCCATTTTAAGGTTGACCTTTAACTTGCTAGATGGCATTGGAGCTGCAGATGGCATTCTCAGAGATGAATACCCAGAGGCTCCAGTTTAAGGGGTGGCAGCAGCCGTGAGAGCCACACCAGGGTATCCGATTCACGAGCCTGCTTCTCTGGACCACAGTTGCTCTGTCTTTGCCTGGGCCGAGATCGAGAGTAGAGTCTGGCAGCCATCTGGTGTTTGTAACTGAAGTCTGTATTTCTACCCTACCAGGGAAGTGCGGCAAAAATAATTGAAGGGTATTTGGTCTGCTTAAGTGGGCAGAAGTGTCCTCATCAAAACAACTTTGAAGCCCTGCTTTCTGTGTGGGTGTGGGTGGGTGTGTGACCCTTGGCTTGTTGAAGGGACATCAACAAGGAATTAACCAGGCTTTCTCCCCGAGAAATCGCCCAGGCAAAACCTCTGTTTTACTTACTCAGACGACGCTGGTGCAGCTTCAGGTTGGACAGACTATTTTGGGGACCCTTGACTGCTTTCTGGACACCCTCACTGAGCCAAGTGGAGGAAGTGAATGATGAGTGATTTTGAAGAATGGATTTCTGGGACATACAGAAAAGTGGAAGAAGGTCCCCTTCCTCTGTTGACTTTTGCTACAACTCCTTACCATGATCAGAAACCAGGAACGAGTGGATTACGGAAGAAAACCTATTATTTCGAGGAAAAGCCATGCTATCTGGAGAATTTCATCCAGAGTATATTCTTTTCCATAGACTTAAAAGATCGCCAGGGATCATCACTGGTGGTTGGTGGAGATGGGCGGTATTTTAATAAGTCAGCAGTAGAAACAATAGTGCAGTTGGCGGCCGCCAATGGGGTTGGTATATGATAAGTGCTGTTACATTTCTGGCTCTCCAAATAACCTCTTAATTTTGCAGAGATATGCAAATGTGCAAAGATGTATGTGTGGTATATAATATACTCCAGTTGTACTAACATTCAAAGATTGTGTATTGTGAAAATACTCCAGCCATTCCATTAGTCACACTGGAATCTGGGAATGTAAGTTCGGCTTCTTATGTGTTGTGCTCTGTTCTACTGCTTGAAAAAGTACCTGTTGCTTTTTAGCCATCTAAAGCCCACTCCCAGCCTTTCATCTGTTTTGAGCGGTTTTATCTGTTTTCTTGCTTCAAGGGGCACCCTGTCCTATGTAAGAGGGCGCTCCTGAATGGTGGAGAAAAGAGGATTTTGTTTTCTTTCAATGGCTTCCTTGTTGAAGTTCAGTCACTTGTCAAACAGGAAAACAAAAGCCAGGGCATGCTGTTGTTTATGGATCTCGGTAATCATGCAGAAATGCTGGGAGGGGGCTGGAAAATGCTAGGTGTGAGCCTTCCGGGGGGACCTGGTACAGGGGCACCTGCTCATAATGACCTTGGACACAAAGAGGCCCTGTGCATGGTGAATTAGTGCAACAGGGTAGAGATAATGACCCCTGTAACACTGTAACCTAAGGAGGCTCTGCTAACGCTCCATCGGGAAAAACCATGTTGGCTGGATTAAGCAAATGAGAAAGAAGGTTGCACCAGAAAGCACCGATCTTGGTAATCTAGCAATTCCCGTGGCCCACTGATTTACGGGAAGGTGGGCATCAGGACATTGATGTTTTTGCTCGGCGAATTCCTCTTTGATACCAAAAATATATTTTTAGTGCTTTAGGTAAATGCTTAGCAATAATCTACAGTCCTTCAGTACCTGCAGATTTTTAAAAATCTGTTGTATTTCTTTTCTGGAAGAGATTCTGATTCTGACAACACGAAAGTTAATATTGCAACCTAAATGTGTTGGTTTTTAGTCTGTTTTAATAATATGGCAAGCGTGCGTGTTTGCAGAAACCAAATTAAAACAAAGCAAAACAAAGCAAAATGTACCACCGAACTAAATGTAGTAGTGTTTGTAGATCCCATTGTTTATAATGAGAATTTTCCTGTGAGTTTCAGAATCTGAATGCCTCTTGTGTAAAAATTGCTGATAAAGCACTCAAATATTAAATTATTATGAAGCATACACATTTTTAAGATAAAATGTGATGTGCCGTAAATTTCGTCTTCGAGGAGAGCTGCAAAGGGAATGGTATTAAGATGCTTTTAATCTTTCAAGAGGGAACGAATGGAACATTATTTCTGCGCATATCTCTAGACTATTGAGTGGATCTGGTACACTGTCCCCTTTGCTGTGATATATTTGGCTTCATTTCATTTTTGTGTGGACCTGAAGGATGTGGGCAAAGCGGCAGGAATGTGTAATTCAGGCAGACGGTGTAGATTTTCTCAGATTCACCATGCAAAGGTTTGCTAAATAATACATTTAAGTGATAATAATTAACTAAATGTGGTAGGTGCCTATTTGTTAGAGCTGTGGCAGACCCGAGCAATATTTTCAAATCTTTCCAAGGACATTCCTTAATAAAAGTAGCTTTGTGATTAAAACAGTCACGCTGCCTGAATGAATTACTTAAAACATTTAGTGGAGCCATAAAGCACCTTAATTTGATGTGCTTTAAACCCATGAAATTCTAAAGACTTTGATTTCTGCTTTTTCTAACATATCCTAAATTCCAACTGTTTTACCATCCCTTTGATTGTGGGTGGGACTGCAGGGAGGAAATCGAAAGGAAGTGTAATTATTACCACCGATTTTGGCAAAAGTCAATATTCCTTCCTCATCTTTGTCGATTCCCATTCCACTCAGGCTCCGATTCTTAGAGGACTTTCAACCCACGGAGCTAGATGGAGCTTATTTAATTTTTCCCCTTGAGGACAGTTTTATTTGGTACATTTATGGATGATAGAATATAACTTGCCTTCATCAGAAGTTTCTTTTCGTTTTTATTTGCATAGAGCTGTCTGCTTTTGCAGGATATTTTGATGTACAAAATAAGACGTTGGTGGGCCCCATTTAGAACACTGGCATCTCATTCAGTCCCTGGAGCTCTAAACTTAGAATAGATTTAGAGGTGAGAGCAGAACCTGCGTGTGTGATTAACTGGGCAAAGACTGTGGAAGTTGTTTTTTTTAATGAAACATAAAAAACCACCAAGCCCTATTTTCAATTAAAAGGAAATTTTAAAGGTTTGCTCAATGCCATGTTTGACTATTAAATGTTTGGAGTGGCAGGGATGGTGGTTCACTCCTGTAATCCCAGCGCTTTGGGAGGCTAAGGCAGGAGGATTGTTTGAGTCTAGGAATTTGAGACCAGCCTACACAACATAGTGAGACCACATCTCTTCAAAAAATAAAATTAGCCGGGTGTGGTGGCACACGCCCAAAGACCCAGCTACTTGGGAGGGTAAAGTGGAAGAATTGCCTGAGCCCTGGAGGTCGAGGCTATAGCGAGGCATGATTGGGCCACTGCACTCCAGCTTGGGACAGAATAAGACCCTGACTCAAAAGAGAAAAAGTATGAGAACAATGAGCTACCCATTTCGGTGATGAGACAGGAGTTTATGAGAAAGAAAGTGGTGGGAGAAGGGGCAGGCCAGAGAGATCGTTTGATGATGGACTCTCAGTGCCAGACTGAGGACGCTATCTCTGACTTGGGAGCCATGGAAGGTGGAATACACATAACATCCAATTTATCATTTTAACCATTTTCAGTGGGCAGTCCAGCAGCATTAATTACACTCACAATGTGGTATAACCATCACTGCTATCCATCTCCAGAACTCTTTTATAATCCCAAACAGAAACTCCGTCCCCATTACACAATCACTCCCCTTCCCACTGCCTCCAGCCGCTAGCAACTACCTTTCACTGCTATGAATTTGCCTATCCTAGTTACCTCCTTTAAGTTGAATTATACAATATTTGTCCTTTTGAATCCGGCTTATTGCACTTAGCAAAATGTTTTCAAGATCTGTCCACATTGTAGCATGTATCAGAATTTCATTCCTTTTTTTTTGTTTGTTTTTGGATTTTAAAAAATGTACCCTCTATATGTTCTTCCAGTCACATCCACATCTGTAAGTTGCCATGTCATCATTGAATACAGTGATCCGTTTTTAAAAGCATTTTAATTGTGGCAAAAACAAATAATAACGTGTACCCTCTTAACCATTTTTGGATGTACAGTTCAGTATTATTAACTATATTCACATCTTTGGGTAACAAATCTCTAGAAAATTTTCACCTTGCCAAAATGAAACAGTATACCCACTGAACAATGACTCCCCGTTTTTCCCTCCTCAGAGTCTCTGGCAACCACCATTGGACTTTGTTTCTATGATTTTTGACTACTTTGAATCCTACAGCATTGTATCTTTTTGTGACTAGCTTATATTACTTAGTGTAATGTCCTTATGATTCATTCATGTTGTAGCATGTGACAAGAATTCTGCCTTTTTAAAGTCTGAATAATATTCCATTGTGTGGTTATATCCCATTTTGCTTATCCATTCATCTGATGATAGATGTTTGAGTTGTTTATACCTTTTGGTTTTTGTGAGTAATATTGCTATACACATTGGTGTATAGGTGTCTGTCTGAGCCCTACTTTCTATTCTTTAGGTGTATACTTAGAAGTGGAATTTGTTCAGGGAAGGTGTTGAGTGGAAAGAGGACAGAGAATTATGGTTTAGGAAGATGAACTATGTGGGCTCAAATAGGTAGGATGGATTCAGCCGGGGTGGAGCAAGGGAGATTCAGGTGGGAGAGGGGCAGGGGAGATTGAATTAGCAGCTGTTGCAGTCGCCTGGCTTTTTTTTTCTTTTTTAGGTCGTTCGGTGTTGCCCAGGCTGGTCTCAAATTCGTGGGCTCAAGCAGTCCTCCTTCTTTGGGCTCCCAAGCTGCTGGGATTACAGGCGTGAGCCATCATACCCAGCCTAAGGTCTCAGCAATTTTTTTTTTAGTTGGAGTCTTACTCTGTCACCCAGGCTGGAGTGTAGTGGTATGCTCATGGCCACCACAGCCTCAACCTGCTGGGCTCAGGTGATCCTTCTGCCTCAGCCTTCCAAGTAGCTGGAACCACAGGCAAGCGCCACCACACCCAGCTAATTTTTAAAAAATTTGTTGTAGAGACGAAGTCTCGCCAAGTTGCCCAGGCTACTCTCGAACCCCTGGGCTCAGGCAGTCCTCTCACCTCAGCCTCCCAAAGTGCTGGGATGACAGGCATGAGCCACTGCACCTGGTCTAGTTCTCAGCATTTTTAAGGGAGGTAGGGTAATAGAGCAATATATCTTTTCTATCAGATTGAGAAGTAATATTCTTGAGGATGATTCAGCAGAAAGAGTCTGCCAGAAGGGAAGTTCTTTGGCTAAATGAACCTCTTCTTGGGCTAAAGCGAGAGAATCTTCTCACTCTTGACTTTCCTTCTTACTCTTACCCCTTGTATAATCTCCCCAGCCTGGAACCATTGCTAACTACAGATTTCACCCTCAGGAATGGTAGGATGAAGAGGTGGCTGGGGCAGTGTAGGTAAATATTCCCTGGCCTCTCCTTTCACACCAAATACCATCTACTGTATTTGTAAATATAATCTCCATATAACTCCACAAGTTGCTCAGGCTGATTAAGTGACCATCCCTAAGCCTCTCCTAATAAAAATTCTGGAACTGCCTGGACAGTTTTTTCTCATCACAACCACACCTGGCTACCGCCGGAAGGGTGAGATGTCACCTCTGCCACCGTATTGGGCCAGGAGGTGTCAGTGCTTTCCCCGGCCATGGCCCCTCACGTGCTGTGTGACCTTGACATGCCACGTATGCCAGCGTCTGCCGTGGCACCTTTCCATCGATTTCTGTCATTGTTGCTGTTGGGTGGAAGCAAGGATGAATGAGCGGACAGGACCATGATAACTCTGGACCTCTGCTTCCTCGTGTGTGCAGTGACACTTGGGCACAGCGCATGAGAGAGTGGATTGAAAGCGCCATGGGAGGTAACAAGCACTCGGAACTAAAGAGCGGCTGCCCACATCACCTGCGCTGGTGGTTACCGTTTTGGTGGGAGAGGCAGGACAGGGTAAATATATTAAGGCAGTAACAGCAAAAACTGTTCAGAGATGGACATATGAGCGCCAAGAGGTGGCTGAAGCCACCCAGCTGCCTCCTGGGGGGTGACTTACAAGGAGGGTGGCAAGACTCAGCCTCAGAAAAGCTTTCCCCAGGGAATCCAGGCATCTCACCAGCATGTTCAACATTAGAAACACATCTTCCACCCCCAAGTCATTTCTTCAGCCCTGTTTATCTTGGGTGGAGCAGAAAGAAATAACAAATGGGACATTTAAAGGCATTCCTGTCCCCTTCTCTCTCATGGAGAGTGGAGGAAAGGCACAAATGCCACCCTGCCCTCCTTTTATAAGTCTTTTTTATGTAGCAGCCCATCTTCTCCAAAAGTATGTGAAGGGGCCTGACAGAACTTCTTCCTCTTTTTCCAACTTGGGTCATGTTGAAACAGATATAAATGGCTGTTATCTTAGCAAACAGAGATTTCAGAGCTGTGCTGATAACCATCTGTGAGAGAGATGGGAAGGTGAGTTAAGAATGAAGCAGAAGCCCCACTTGTAGCCTTTCATGTAGGTGGTTCTGACTGGTTTGCTTAGGAATAACATCCGGCATTCTCGTCTTAGGCCCAGGAGGTAACCCAGGTATCCCCTAACATGGGTAGGTGTGCCTTGCTTTGAAAAAAATCCCCTGTCTGAGAAATCCAAGCTTGACTGGAAAGGTAAAGTTATAAGAGGCATATGATATTCTGATATAAAGTTTGCCCTTTTTACTTTTTTTTTTTAATTTCCTTTCTAAAAACCTTCTCTTTGGGTAGAATCCATTTAGCTAAACCTGTATCATCTCTTCCATTGTGGATTGAAAGTATGATCAAATTGGATAAAACTGTGGGCTGTCTCACAGTCTTTCAGTGTCTCCCAATTACACACCTGATCTGGAAAGTCTCTGTTTTGAATATGCTGGTTCCTTGCCAGAGCCCTACAGGACCCCCAGACCACACACTCTCCTAAAACTACAAAATCCCCAAAAGTATCTGAAGGAATCGTTTTGTTCAACAATGCTGGTCCTACTTCCGTTATGTGGTGGAGACAACCAAACTGTACCCGTCCATTACACAAAATCTCTTCTCTTCCAACAGAACGATTTCTTTGACCATCTGCCTGTAGTTCTGATGTTTCTGTCCAGTGACTCCGGACTCATTCGTGTTAAAGGGTGTGTTCTGGGTTTCTTCTCCTAGATTGGTCGCTTGGTTATTGGACAGAATGGGATCCTCTCCACCCCTGCTGTGTCCTGCATCATTAGAAAAATCAAAGCCATTGGTGGGATCATTCTGACTGCCAGCCACAACCCAGGAGGGCCCAATGGAGATTTTGGAATCAAATTCAACATTTCTAATGGAGGTGAGTTTGCTGTCATTTTGAGGACAGGCAATTTTATATTCAGAGGATATGCCAGTACCCCAAGCCTTGGGAGGCCAGGGTTCTGGCCCTGATCCTTTGCATGGGGAGGCCATCTGCTCCATTTTGGTGACAGTGAAATGCTTCTCCTTCTGCTGTACCTGAATATGAAGAGCCATGACCAAATCATCACTCACATGGCATTTTCTTTTACAAAAATCCTGACACTTTTCTGCTGGGATGATGACACAGCCAATGGATGGGCTAGGGACAAGGAATTGATGAACTTTGGCTTTTTTGTATTTTCACATGAGCGGCTGCACAAAATGACCCACTGTTTGCTGTTTGATTTCCAGGTCCTGCTCCAGAAGCAATAACTGATAAAATTTTCCAAATCAGCAAGACAATCGAAGAATATGCAATCTGCCCTGACCTGAAAGTCGACCTTAGCGTTCTGGGAAAGCAGCAGTTTGACCTGGAGAACAAGTTCAAACCCTTCACAGGCATGTCTCCTTTCCTCCTCTTCCTACCCGCTCCTCTTTCCAACTCAAACAATTTTCCTTCCAAGGTTTAAATAAAGTGGGTCTTTGGCGAGGGAAAGATTTTGGTCACTAAGCTTTTCAGGCATTAATTAATCAACAGGTGTGGAATCAGGTGTGGGAGTCCAGAGACTTGGGCTCTCTGGGCCTTGCCAGAGATGAGCCGCTTGGCATGGGGTAAGTCATTTCCAACTCTCAAGGCCTCAGTTTTCATGCCTGTAAAATGACCTTGACTAGAAGACCTGTAAGATTATATTTATAATGTCTACTGACCTCTTGTTGTGTGGCCTCTTTACCTGCATTATTCCATCTTGTGCTCATAGTTGCCCTGTGAGGGCAGCCCTGTGGGTATTCACTATGCACAGATGAGGAAACAAAGGCTGAGAGGGATTAGATGACAGACTCAAGGTCAGTCTGTGAGCGGTCAAACCAGGATTGACACTCAGGTGTGAGTGGTTCCCAAACCTGGACTTCCAGTTTTTTTTTTCCTGAACCAATAACATCAGATAATCTTTGAGGGACTAAATTGAGACTCCCTGAATAGGCAGCTGTGGTTAATGTTTTGTTGTTGAATTGAAATAGTTGCCAGAATAAATGTTTATAAAATTATTCATTCTTAAAAAACAAGGATGAGATGGACAGCGGGCTTGCATTTTGGCTTTACCCTAAAATGCATTCTTCCTTCTGGACTCCACCTTTATGAAATGCATTTTTTTATGTGACCCTTCCCCTCAAGAGCTGACAGTTGCATCCTAACAAAGGGAAAGTGACACTCGGGTGCATCTCAAAGACATTCTTGGGGTCAGAAAATACCAATAGAGAGTTTCTTAAGCTCTCCATGTTTTGAAAAGGTTCAAGCACCCCTGCATATCTGACAAGAACAGCAGCAATACCAAGTTCTTACATTTGTTTTATTCCTTAAGAAGTACAAGTGAAAAGTGACTCACTCAAATAATTTTTTTCCTGCTTTTTAACCATCAAGTCTTGATGACAATGGACCTGGAAAAAGAAAAGGAAAGAAAAGTAGACATTACATCTTCTGTCACCTGTGACACCAAAATAAGCCTCGCCTGGAGGTGGGTGGGGAAGCATTATGGCAATATAGCAGGATTTATGCAGCCTCTGCTGAAAATCCCCTGTGGTCCATCCCAGCTGTGTGGGCAAATTCCTTAACCTTTCAGCCCTTGACTTTCCTCATCTATAAAACAGGACTAATAACTTTACCTCTCAGGAAAATTGTTAGTCTTGAATAAGATATCATTTAACAGCCCTGAGATACTGGGGCTGTTCAATAATCATCCTTTTAAAATGGCTGGTCATTTCAGAGTATACTATTTCTAAGCGTATTTATTCCTTCCATCTTTTAATGTTGCTTGTTCCACAGTGGAAATCGTGGATTCAGTGGAAGCTTATGCCTCAATGTTGAGAAACATCTTTGATTTCAATGCACTGAAAGTACTACTCTCTGGTCCAAATCGACTCAAGATCCGCATAGATGCCATGCATGGAGGTATGGAGTCATTCCTCTTCAGTTCTCTCCTCTCTAGGACAGGAAGTTGCTCTCTTCTGTGTGTATCTCAGCCTTTTCTCAAGTCTCTGTTGGTTTTTTTTCTTGTTTTTTTTTTTTGAGTTGGAGTCTCACTCTGTTGCCCAGGCTGGAGTATAGTGGCATGCTCATGGCCACCCCAGTGTTGACCTGCTGGGCTCCGGCAATCCTTCCGCCTCAGCCTTCCAAGTAGCTGGAACTACAGGCACACACTACCACGCCTGGCCAATTTTTGATTTTTGTTGTAGAGAGGAGGTCTCACCAAGTTGCCCGGGCTGGTCTTGAACCCACAGGCTCAGGCAATCCACTCGCCTCGGCCTCCCAAAGTGCTGGGATGACAGGCTGAACCACCGAGCCTGGCCGTCTCTGATGGTTTTTAAACAGTTATTTTGCAGCCTTTTCAGAGTCACGCTGACACATAAAAGTCTAATTGTCTGTAGCAAAAACAGTAGGGACGGCTCCTCCTGGTAAGCTGGTGTGAAGGTCAATGTTTCCACATTAGGCATCAGGGTTTGAGTCACATGCAACTGTTGTTGCCTTCCCCCTCAGAAGATACCTGGCATTCTTCCTGCACGCCCCCCTATGTTTCTGAGAGGAATGGTCACTTGCTAGAGGTAGTAAACATGCTTCTGAGCCCCACGCCCCCCTCAGCTGCCCCCCACGCTCCTTTTCTTAGCAGAGGGCAAGAACAGACTGAGGATTAAGTTTGGGAAAAACAGGATGTGTATATCCCTCTCCTCTTCCTCTGTGGGTTGTGTGGTCGGGTCAGTAGAGACACAGCCATCAATGTGAACCACAGCCATGGGGTCTTCTCACATGTAGGAATATGGGAATTCCTAAGGACATAGAAGATTTCTATGTTTTGTAATAGTTTTAGAATCTTTGCCTGTCAAGGAGTTTCCCGTGTGTGGGAATTCACACACACATCTGCCTGAATGGGGAAGACTTTCTGCCTGTGGTTGAACCCTTTCAATGGTGCTGTCCAAGGCCTCCTGTTACACTGCAAACCACTGTTAGAAAATCTCCTGGTGGGCTGAAATCCTCCACCCCTGGAACTTCTCCCCTGGGGTCCCAGCTGGCCCCCTGGAGTTCCACAGAATGAGTCTACTTCCGTATTCAGACCGAAGCAATTCTGTCATTTTTAGCCATTCTACAGACAGGTATGACGTACATGCTTACATGCATGCTTGGGGAATAGGCTGGGACTTGGCCAATGACTTCCTCCAAAGAATTTGCAGTGTTTGGGGAGACGAGATGGGTAAAAAACCAACCACTGTCAGGCCAACAGCATGAGAGTTAGAATTTCGAGTATTCTCTTTGAAGTTGGAAGAAGGCATAGCTGAACAGGGGTATCAAGAAAAGTGTCCTGGAAGGAGGGGCAGCCAACTCAGTTTTTCTGAAAGAAAGATCTAAGGTGTTGGAAAAATCAAGTAGCAGCCATTCCCAGCGGAGGCACTGGTGTGGCAAAGGCCTGAGGGCTTAAAAGTAGATATCACATTAGGAGAATGGCGAGAAGCCTAGGCTGGCTGAAGAAAGGGGCTTGCGAGGGGCTACTGGGTAAGAGATGCTGGTCAGGAAGTGGATTTCTTTTTTCCAGGTCTTTCTGTTGTTCCTCTAATGCCTCCGTTTCTATACCCCTCATGGCCCTGGCTGCCTTGACCTCATTCTGTGGTGTGTCCAGAAGCTGCTTAATATGTGGCTCCTCATAGGAGACATTTACTCTACTCTGTTTTTTTTGTTGTGTTTTTTTTTTTTAACTCTACACTGTTTGACCTATGCAGCATATGCTGTATTGGGGTTAGTACCTTGCTGGATGAACGCACATTCTCGGCATTTCAGAGATGCACATTCTTGGTCGTTATGCACAATGTCTCCATAAGCGTACGTGACTGGCTTCTTCTATTGTTTAATCTTGTTACTGGTTTTTGTTTGTGTTTTTTCCCAACCAGTTTGTCAGGTTGCTTGTTATCACAGAGAGAGAAGAGCTCTTAATCCCAACTTCCACTCTTCCTAGCTGTATATAAGTTCGGGCAAATATCTTTATCTCAGAATACCGGGGGTTTTCTTATCTATACATTGGAGGAGATAATCATGATGTCAGCACTTAGAGCAGATATGCTAGACTGTCCTCAGAGCTTCCTATCAACCTATTTAATCCTCACATCAACCCTGGCAGGTGGTGAACTATCCTCATTTTGCAGATGAGAGAGACTGAGGCACAGAGAGATGAAATAACTTTCTCAAGATTATATAACTGGTGATGAGCAGAGCTGGAATTTGAACCCAGCAACTCTGATTCCAGAGTCCAGACTCTTAAGCACTAAGCTGTATGACCTCGTGGGCTTTCCTGAAGCACCGACTGAGAGAATGGTTGAGAAGCTCATGGACTTCATAGTGTTTCGTTCCCTTCCCTTTCTCCACTCTTTCTCTCATGAAATGGCCCCTTTTCCAACCTAACCTCTCATCGCTCCTTCTTCTAGAACTTCCTGCCCCAGGCAGACTTATTTCTCCACCAGCCCCTGAATGTAGTTCAGATGGTCACGTCGTTTCTCATGCCATTTTTTTTAATCTCCGGAATTCATCCATCTCACCCCTACATCCTCACATACTTGAAGAAGCTTTATTTTCTGATTCTCCATCCTCGTCTTTTGTGCCTTTTGTAGTTGTGGGACCGTACGTAAAGAAGATCCTCTGTGAAGAACTCGGTGCCCCCGCCAACTCGGCAGTCAACTGCGTTCCCCTGGAGGACTTTGGAGGCCACCACCCTGACCCCAACCTCACCTACGCAGCTGACCTGGTGGAGACCATGAAGTCAGGAGAGCATGATTTTGGGGCCGCCTTTGATGGAGATGGGGTGGGTACAAGTGCATTTAGGCAAACTGTGGTGCAGGCCAGGCCTGATCCCGTAGATGGGGAAAACAACGACTGCTTCCTCTAGGCCCTGGGAGGGACTGGCAAGCATTCTCTGTTGTACCTGAGGTCAGAACTCAATTATTAGAAGACTCTTTTGAGCGGAAATGAGAGTCACTGAAATGTAACCCGTGTGTTCAATTTGCTAAGAGTCATATTTTTTAAGAGTGGCAGGGCGATTAGGTCCTAGTTATGCTAAATAATTAGTACTTGAAGACCTGGGTGAGTTCTAGGTACCTGACCTAAAGTTTCTGCTCACAGCCAGCATCTGGCTATTGATTTAATTTCTAGAAAATGTTTTGGTCTTATATCCATACATTCATTCACAGTAGCTGAATGTTGAAACTATAATTTTACAGCAGGTGTGAAGGTGATATTGAAAGAGTCAACATTTTATTTACTCTCTACAGTTCTAATTTTTATAAAATAAACTTTTGTTTACATTGGTGGTATGTAATAGACAAGAGAAAGGTATGTCTTAGACAAGTTTGTATGCCTGGTATCTCACAGATAGTAGGTGCTGTTCACGTTTCCTTAGTTGAAGATATATTTTTCCTGCTGCTGTTGTTTTTTACCATCAACTAGAATCTACTGTTTCCTGAAAAATAATATATCAAAATTTTGGGAGATCAAAGGGGTTCCTAGCAGAGGTTATCCTGTGATGCGTCTTTGTGATACAGTGCATGCTGGAAGTTCTTTTCCCTCTATACTCCCTGTTACTTGAATGTGATTGTGTGCTGGCACCAAGGAAGCAGTGAAGGTGGCAGCATCTTTTGTTGGGTCCAGTACCCAGTGGAGGAACCATGATTTAGAAGCCTTTCCTTGAAGAAATCTGCCTTTGTTCTTCAGAGGGTGCCTGGTAGACCTACCAAACTATGTAAACAGCCAACAATTTCCTCTCATTGCATTCTGTCCTCCTCTGGGAGACAGCTGATTGGTTCCAGAGTTTGGAAAAGGTCTCAGAGGTTAAAGTTAGCTGGCCTCTGGAGGGAGAACAGAGTATTCAGCTCAAAAGGAGTTTGTGCTTGCACTGTAATTGAAAACAGTTTTAACTCTTTGGCATGGAGGTTGGCCCAATAGTATGATATAAACCCATTACAAATAAACTCTAGGGTTTAAAATGCAGTATGAGTCAATGTATTAGTTTTAAACTTTAGAATTTAAAATTTTACAAAACCTCCATGGAAGAGAGTTTGAGATTTCTTCAGCAGTTTGATTAAAAGGTCTTCCTTTGACTCTCCCTTCTCCCAAAGGATCGAAACATGATTCTGGGCAAGCATGGGTTCTTTGTGAACCCTTCAGACTCTGTGGCCGTCATTGCTGCCAACATCTTCAGCATTCCGTATTTCCAGCAAACCGGGGTCCGCGGCTTTGCACGCAGCATGCCCACGAGTGGTGCTCTGGACCGGTAGGTCTTTTCATCCCCTCAGATCCCTGTGTCGGGTCACCCCAGTCCTCACAGTGCCCTTCATTGTCCCTTCCCTTTCTGCGTAGGCATCTGATGCATCGTGTGTGCTAAGTGGTTCTTGTGTATGGGAATGGGTGAAGTATCTTCTGGATTAGATGCACCCCTTTCTCCTGACACTTAATGCACTGTGTTCTGATAGCCTGTTTCCTGCCTGGCTGCCTGGCTAGACTGTATACTTTTGCAGAGAAAGGGCTGTCTTACTCACCTCCCTAGACGCTGCCTGACCACAGTGTGCCTTGCACCAGCGTAGGACACACACATACAAATCCTTTTCTGAAATGATTGGATGGTAATGAATAAACGAATGGGTGGTACGTCTTTGTACTGAAGTCATCATTCTAGAAGATCACGTTCCTTTAGCAGTATGCGTGGAGTTTGGGTGAAAGAGCAGTTTGAAGTAGTTTCAGAGTTTCAGCAGAGCTGGATCCCCTGCACCCACAAGCACAGTGAATGTTCATTTGTCCAAAATCTGAAATAGAAAGCTCAAATAGGTTAGAATAATTTACATTTGGTGTTTATGAGATAGAAAGAAACCAGTGACAATGAAGTTGATATCTTAGATTTGCTTAATTGTATATTTGTCTGTTTATTATATATCACCTCATTCTACAAAGGCTTTAAGGTGGCTTATGAGATCACATCTAAAAAACAAAAACAAAAGTAATAAATAATAAATGTGGACCAGGGAAAATATTAATTATAACATGTCAGATGCCCAGGAAATGTTTGCTGAATGAAAGATTAAAAAATGAATAAATGAATGAATGAGTAAAAGGTCAAGGCCTGGGAGGGCAGTAGGCTGATAGCTATCTACAGGTTCTTGTAATAACAGTTGATATGAATATGAATATGAAAATTACCCTGTTGTAGACACTAAACACATGTCTTAAGTCATTAATTCTCAGATAAACCACATTGGGTAAATTCTGTCTGGAACCCCATTTTACTGGTGGGAGAACAAAAAGACCAAGAAGTCACTTGCCTGAGGTCACTCAGCTAGTACATGACTGAGTCAGAATTGTTTTTTTTTAAATTAAATTTTTGTATTATTATTTTTAATTATAAAGAGGTGGGGGTACAATTCAGGGTTAGGTGTACAAACATCGATTATGCAGGTACCCTTGTTGATGAAGTACGCCCCTCCCTCCCCTGGCAGTTTCCCTCAACTGTCAATCCCAACCCCTCCCCTGACAGTTTCCCACTACTGCCAATCGCTTTCTTATAGCATTGTAATTGTTCAAGTTTCGCTTATGAGTGAGAATATATGGTACTCTGTCCTTGGTTTCTGTGGTAGATCACTAAGTATGATCGACTCTAAATCCCACCAAGTTACTGCAAAGTCCATTCGTTTGTCCTTCTTATGGCTGCATAATATTCCATTGTGTATATGTACCACTTTTTTTTTTTTAACCTAGAGCCTTTGTTCCCACCCATGGGGCCATGCAATAATTTCCCGTTGAAAGGGAGTTGGTTACAGAATTCCTGCTCACTTGGCTTCAGCTCACAAGAAAATAATGATAATATCCACATAGTGATCTTTATAGTCACCTTCTCAATTGATCCTTCAGCAAACCTCATTTTAAAGAGGAGGAAACTGAAAGTCAGAAAGGTTACCAGTCCTGTCCAAGGCCCCACAGCCAAGTTAGAGCTAGAATTCTAACCCAGTGCTTTTGCCTGGAGATCCTGCATCTGAAGTCATGAGCTAGTTTGTGGCTATGCTGTCATACATTAGACCCGTCAGGTCCTGAAATACTTTTGGTGTCATCTAAGAACAGTTTAATTCCAATTTTTGGAAAAATTGATAATCCATATATCGAAATGCAACTGAAATGCTTCATTACCCAGATAAAAATTGATCATACCTTCATAGTTTTCAAAGTCATAGATGTGCTTTTCCTCAAATGTTAGAATCCAAAGCTGACATTGCTTTGCTAGGAAGAAGACAAGCATTCTGGGAAGCACATCTCGCTAAATAAAACAGGGAAAGAAACTTATCAGTTAACTTTTCCTATTCTAAAGGAAAGGAATTTCCTTTTAATCCACTCAAAGGTTTTAAATAGTCTAAAGATGATGAGGAAGAAGTAACAGATGTGTGGGAAGGGAAGGGGGACCACTGAACAGTGTGGGTGAAGCCAGTGCAAATGGGAGACCCCGTTGGGCCCTTTCTCTGTGGGGTCTTCTGACGAGATAAAAGGAATATTTACTGGGCAGCTGACTTCTGGGCAGTTGGTCATCGTGGCTGTGTGAACTTGGTCTGCTCATTTTACATTTTGGGCTCTGTTTCCTCCTCTGTAAGATACCAATCCCCTAGACCTGGTCCATGATTATAAGTGTATCAAAACATCTTCTTTTGTTCTTTATAGAATGGTGATAGATGTAGTCTGTATCCCAAACACATGGTTTATACAAGAACCTAAAAAACAGCCCTGCACCTTTTACTACTGTGGCTTCTTCTAAAATACTGAACTCCATGATCTGAATTAATTCTTTCTTTTTCCTCTTCTTCTCCCTCCTCTGAAGCCACATATAATAACCCATTGTATACAAGTTTTTTTTTATGATTTTCCACCAAACTCAGAATTATGTCTACCTCAGAGCAATGCTAAATGGGACCCTTGATTACAATAACGGTTGCGTTTTTTCCATCCCTCACATGGCTACACTAACAGTCCTGCTGTGATGTAACTTTGATTTCATGTCTTTGAAGGGTGGCTAATGCTACAAAGATTGCTTTGTATGAGACTCCAACTGGCTGGAAGTTTTTTGGGAATTTGATGGATGCAAGCAAACTGTCCCTTTGTGGGGAAGAGAGCTTCGGGACCGGTAAGTCACACTCCTGTGCTAGCATTTTCCTCCTTGTCACCGCTATTTCAGTGAAAGCTTAGGCTGCTAGTGTAGCACTGAAATAGCAACAGTAGCTGATGTGTCCTAAATCAAGACACAATTTATTTATAACAACCTTGATGAAGTACAAACGTTTGAAAAGCAGTGAGCGCATTCAGGCAGGAAGGCTAATTTTACTTTCAGAGGATCACATCAACCGAGACAGGAAGTTTGGGGGCCTCTCGGCATCATGGTCGTTGAGTCCGCAGGGATTGAACAGACTGATAAACATATTTTCCTTTCCTCAGTGGTCAAGGAAACCTTTATAAATGTTTTTATTTCAGGGAGGAAATATGGGAGCACAAGTCACTTTTTCGTTTTTATTGAAGAAGAGGTTTCAGCAGGGCATTAAAACTTTCTCTTCCATAGGCCTTAGTTTTCTTTTCTTTTTTTTTTTTTTGAGTCGGAGTCTCACTCTGTCGCCCAGACTGGAGTGCAGTGGCCGCTCCTGGCCACTGCAGCCTCGACCTGCTGGGCTCCGGCGATCCTTCCGCCTCAGCCTTCCGAGTAGCCGGAATTACAGGCATGTGCTACCACACCCGGCTGTTTTTTTGATTTATTGTAGAGATGAAGTCTTGCTGCCCAGGCGGGTCTCGAACCCGCGGGCTCAGGCAATCCAGTCACCTCAACCTCCCCTAGGTGTGGGATTACAGGCTGAGCCACTGAGCCCGGCTTGCCTTAGTTTTCTACAGCAACAATCAAGGCTAATTGAAGGAAGACCATTAGGGTGGAACTAAGTTGCCAGGTGATCAAGAAATTGAAAATTCATTCCTGTGCATAAGAGTGTGTATGTAATTGTAGTACAGTGAAAGAGGGGAACACAGTATACTCAGGGGTGACCCAAGACCTCTAGACCCCACTCTCTGTGCTTTCTTCTCTACCTGAATATTGACCTGAACTGCCATCTCCTTCGGGACCTTCTGTGCTGTCTCACTCTACCTATATCTCTTTCCTAAGCATCTGTTGAGGTGGGTGGCCCTTTCTCATGTGTTGGTCTTCAGCCAGGTTGCAGAGTACTTACTGGCTACATCCCTTCTCCTCCTCTTCTCTACCCAATAGTTATAAGTAAGAGGACTGATCCTCTTGGTCCTTAGTACTCTGCGGACACCCATTAGCAAAAAGAAGATCGAGACCAAGGCTTCTATCAGCCTTGCAACTGAGTTGCAATTCATGCCAGGTTAAACAGAACAGGATACCGATTTCATTTCCTTTCCTACATGTCTGGTGGGTAGGACAAGCTGGGAAATTTGAGGCACATATTGATGAAGTTCTAAGCAATTTAATATCTTTGCAAGAGTGGCAACACACTTTAGCAATTCATTGGAAGGTTTTAAGAAAGCTGAGAGAGTCTTGGGATTGGAAGGTTTTAAGAAAGCTGAGAGAGTCTTGGGATTGAACAATGTCCACGGTGAAGATGACTTCCCAAAGTTCTGGATCTTTCATCAGAGATGACAAGGCCACTGCTTAGTCCCTTCCTGCTTCATGTAATGTGGATGGTGCCATCTTATTCCGAAGCAGACCACACAAACACCCAATGAACTTGCGAGGGGGTCATCTCCCGTGAAACTCCCCCCCGGTGTCGTCCAGTTCAGGCTTGGAAGCAGTCCTTCTTCTTGATGGATGAAGATGTCTTTGAAGGCAGGCATAATGTCAAAACCTTCCATTTCCCGCCCCCATATTCCTGTATGAATGCCAAGCCTAGTGAAAAACGAAAAGGCCACCATCAAGTTTCCCAGAAGAGGTGCGCGGGTAGTGGTTCTGGGGGTCAACAAAGATCAGGAAACTTGGAGTACACCTCTCTACCTTGGAACTTCTCAGTGATATTAGCATTTGAAGATTCCAAAACATTATACTTTAAGGAATCTTGTTCGTACAGTTTTTGCCCAAACATAGTTAACCACAACATATCTGTGTATATTTTTTGTAGGACATACAGTCGCATCTTGTCCCATAGGCCCATGTGGGCGGCATTTGGCAAGAGGAATCAGAGCCCCACTGCCAAGGAGGAATCCCAGGGGTTGACTGGCTGGGAATAGGCCTGAAGACAGGATGGCACAAACTGCTCCTCTCCTTCATGACAGGCTTTCAAACACTAGAAGAAGTTCCCATGTCCTTTCTTCTTCAGGCTGTCCGTCTTTGGTTCCTCCAGTCATTCCCCACTTCACATTGTTCACAGACTCAGCACCCGCCTATAGATGCTTCCAATTCACCAGTGCCCCTCTTGGAAGATGACGCCCAGAACAGAGCCCAGATCTTCCAGGGTTGGCCTAGCCAGTAGAGAGTAGGGTGGGGTGATTATTTCTAGTGATCTGGCTCTGATTTTTCTTGGTGTAACTTTCCTATGTTAGCTTTTAGGGTGCTTTACAATACTGTTTAGCCCACATACGGTTGTGGATAACCAAACCCTTAAAGTTTTTAACCCAAAAGCATTTGTCAAGAAAAGTCCCCTGTGTTATATTTGTGGAATTGATTTCTTTGAACTAAAGTATTAGACTTTGGACTATTCCTTGTTAAAGTTTGTTCTTATCTATGAACCCGTTTAACAAATGTCTAATGCCAGCCGTAGCTTTATCTTCCCTTTAATATCTTTTACATCCAAAGAGAGAACACATCATGAGAATAATTCATAAGTTCTTTCTCTCTCTCTTTGAAAAAAAATTGTTGTGTAACATTTATGAGATAAGCATTTTAAAAACCAAGCTGCATAGCTGTAGGTCCTCTCTGCTGTGAACAAGTACAACTGGACTTAACTGAACTCCCGATCTCTTATTTATAGAAGAGTTAATTTTCACCTACCAAGTCCCTTGCTGGTGAATGTTTCCAACGGTTCCTTGAGCTTTGGAATTTATGAATTCTCTAGATTAATTGAATGCAGTGTGCTTTATTTTGTATTTTTCCAGGCGATAGCAAAGGCTCTTTTTCAGGAATGCCTCCTTGACCTTTCAGAATGGGTCACAGCCCTGGGATTGGCTCTCATGGTACCATGTACTCGTTGCAGCTGCGATTTTATGGCTATTTATGATTATTGGGTGAGTGTGTCTCTGGAGCATCTAGACTAAGTTTCATGAGCATAGAGATCTTACCTGTCTTATTCTCCATTGTTTCCCTAGAGCCTCCTGTAGAGCCCAGCATAGGATAGATGCTCAGTAAACGGTTGTTGAATGAATGAGCGAACACTGTTCACTTGGCACCTTCCATTTAGACAACCACAATTCTGCTCTTGGTAGGGAAAGACCTGTAAAAGTCATTCGATGTCATTTCCTGAATGGTGCTGGAACCACAGTGACTGGTCAGTGCTTTCCTGCTTAATCACCCACCTCAATGGAGAATCCACACTTCACCTCTTGCTTGCAGTCTGGGGCTCTTGTAAGGACTTGGCACCATTCCTACTCCACGGTCCAGGGTTGGGGACCCCAAGATCTTTGTGGAAAGAAATGAGCTTTTACAAAAGAAAAGCAGTTGACTTGCAAAGAAGTCAGACTTCGGAAGACCTGGCTCAGCAAGTAAAACCACTAGTATTTGAAAAACAAGCCTATACTATGACTAACATTACCACGTATACATTAGTCTGTTCATGTTGGGAAAAGAGCCACTTTCTCACCTGATGGTCATAACCACAGAGGCTAGGACACTTCCTCAGAGATCAGCATTAAAAACACCAGGGAGAAATGGTTTTTGTTAGGGAGTCAGGAATGGAGACCAGAAGTAGACAGGATGAACCTGCTATTTTTGGTTGATCTCATGGTACAAAGCCGTTTTTCCTCCTAGCTGCGGCTGTACATGTCTATACCCAGTGGCAGAGGGCAGACTGTCAGTCCCAGCTTGGAATTGTTGGGACACTAACAGTGTGAAGTCGCTGGATAGTACAGGATACCACTGCTTCTGAAGCCCTTCTTCAGGAAAATGGGAGCTTGGGAAAGAGGGTTGGGAGATGCAGTTGACAGTGAACTTGGTATCACTTGGAGCTATGCCAGGAAATTGTGATCTGGGCAGACTGAGGGGTTAGCAAGATTTTCTTCCCTGTCCCGTCTTTAAAGGTTCTAGCAATAATGCATCACACAGGAGTGATAATTTAAAGAAATACAATGTTAATGCTTTGCAAATTTCTTTTAATTTTTTAGGAAAAATTCTTCATATTTGTACATTTTTGCATCAATCCATTCCTCAAATGTTTATTGAACTTTGACTGTATCCCGGATAGTGGGTTAGATTCTGGGGACATGATGGTGAACAAGACCTCCTCAGGAGGACTGCAAGAGTTTATATCTAGGGAAGGAAGTCAGACTCTGGTCAGGTAATGGCAAGTATGCAGAGCAGTAGAGGTGAAGTATGGAGTACTTTGAGAGCTTTATACTTGGGGGCCGAACTTGGGTCTGTGATGTAGGGGATCAGATTTTTCTGTCTGGTTCTCTTCCCATTCCTAGTTGCATAGCTCTTGAGTACATTTCCCTGTAGGTAAAGTCCCCAGCAGAAGGCTGTAGCATCGCGTGTCTAGAAATATCCCAAACAGAATGAGGCTTATAACGAAGCTTATACCCTCAATAGAGCTAACTCAGTTAAACTGTTACCTGCGTGTCTGTCTCTCTCAAGTCTGTGCTCATCCAAGAGGCCAGGGCACGTGTCTTATCATCGTGGTATTTTCCTGGGTACTTGGAACATGCAGGTGCCAAATTATATGTGTTGAGTGTCAACTGAAATTTGCCTGTCTGGCACCTACCACCTTCCTCCAAAGATAGCTTATGGAAAGGAAACAGAGTATCAGGGGCCGTCATGGAGCAGTGCGGGTGCTGTTGCTGAGTGGAGAGTCTGGGAGTTCCAGGGGACAGCCCGCCTGTGGCCAGAACGGTTCCTGTGAATTGGCTTCCGGAGGAGCTCCCCTTGCTTTTCCAGCAAAGCCATTTGTGCAGTGAAGGCCCAGGAGCAGGGCTGCTGGGTCTCTA